TTAAGTGTCTATTTACTTGTGACCACTCAGTGTATATATATTGTAAATATATAGTAAATGAACTTCATATATGTACACACATTTCAATATTATTATATATATATTGTAAATATATAGTAAATGAACTTCATATATGTACACACATTTCAATATTAGTATATATATATATATATATTGTAAATGTATAGTAAATGAACTTCATATATCTACGCACATTTCAATATTAGTATATATATATATTGTAAATATATAGTAAATGAACTTCATATATGTACACACATATATACAGTTGATCATTGGATCATCAACATAATGAACTTCATATATATAAGAAATTACTGTGAATATAATAAAATGTTAACTAAAACACAAATAGCTTAATTTACCTGAACATTTAGTCCTGTGCACTAGGTGCTATGGAATTTGTCTATTTGCAGCTTAATACATTATTGTAAATCTAAATTTTCCTAGCATTATTCTTTTTTCAGATCATCTTCTCTTCAAGAGAAGCTTTTTCTGAAAGCTGTTGTTGCAGAATATCAGCGTTCTGGACTAGAAGAAGCCACATTTTCTCAGATTTTTAAGCAACATGTGGCGATATGTAGGCTTGAAGGTACTATTTATTTATATATGTATACACAGTATGGATGTTATTCAGGGTAGATTTGTTTTTCAAATAGTTTAAAGTCTATTGCAGTCAATGAGTAAGTAATATGTACAGACGTTTAGTTCTGTGTATCAGTGTCTTCTGTTATTCTCAGTTTATGACAAACACGAAATTGTAGAAAAAAATCCTGTCCATTCATAAAAATATAGAACCATATTTGTTTCTTTAAATGTGTTTCTTGATGTAGCATATTCCACAAAAATTGTATAACTCATATTGTTGTTTGCTAAGTTTTGTTAGTTTTATTAATTATTTGTATTTTTGCCTGATTGATTTTTTTATTCCATTACTTTAGGTATGTTAGTTTTATTAATCATTTGTATTTTTGCCAGATT